CAAGTACAAACATATATTCACACGGACGCATGTTACACAGGGCTTCGCCTCGTGCTGACGGCACTTGGTCTGGTACTGGTACAAATACAGCCAACACCTGAGCGGGTAATCGCCTATGCAAGCTGGACGCTGTCCAAGGAGGACTTTGAGTACTTTATAACAGAGAAGGAATGCCTCGCCGTTGTTTGGGCTATCATCAAGTTTCGGCGGTACTTGTATGCAAGTCCTTTCCTAGTGGTTGCAAACCACCATACTCTCTGCTGGCTCGCTCAAGGTCAAAGCGGACGCGCTTCCGAAGTGAAACTCAAAGAAAAACACAACAACGCATATGCTTTGTCACGGAAGCCGTCGTGAAACCGGCGGGGTTCGCCGCGCCTGAGCAGTGGGGGAGCGTGATGTTACCGCCGGAGCGCCGTGTGAAAAAAAAAAAAAAAAAAAATTACTGTGGCTTAGCTCGGCTATGCCAGGATATACGTAGCGTGAGCTTATGCACACAAAATGAGAGGCGCTATCAAGCGGCTCCGGCGCAGCGTCAGACGTGGCTACTGCGCAACGGAGGCGCGCAGCTGGGCACGCGGCGGCGCCAGTGCGTCTGGTGCGGCTATGACCTCACTCCTCTGGAATGCTCTAACCGGCGAGGCGCGCGTGGTGGCGGCCGAGCGCGCGGCGGCGGCGACTCCGGCGCGCCAACTGTGCGCCGTGTGACGTTACCACTCCTCGCGCATGCGCAGGCCAACGAGGCGCGCGCGGCGGCGGCGGTGGAGCGCGAGGCGGCAGAGCGCGGAGCGGCGACGGCTTCGGCGCGCCAGCTGTGCGCTGTTTGACGTCACTGCCCCTCGCGCTTGCGCAGCACGGCTCTCAGGCAGCCACGCGAAACTGCTCAACCTCGGCTTATGTAGCTCACGCTACAAAAGGGAGCGTGGCGCGGGGCTTGTACAAATGCACTGGAAGTAGGAATGCTTGCGTATTCCTACACATACATTTTGGATTCTGGTAGTTTCGAAAACTCTGTTGTTTATTTATGGTCTAAATTTTCTGTATGCCAAACTTGGTACACCGATTTTTCTGGTAGCCCACGAATGTACAATCGCATAAAACTAGTCATGGGTAAGTTACTTTTAAAGTGTAATTCGTTACAGTTACTTTCAGAAAAAAGTAGCGAAATTACCGTTACAGTTACCGCAGCAAAAGAGTAACTCGTTACAGTTACAGTTACTTTTAAAAGGTAACGACGTTACTTTTCAGTTACTTTTCCATAACAAAAAAAAATTTAGAAAAAACTAGAAATCGTCTTTCACAACGTTTTATTGTATAAAATAAAAAAAAATACGCTTTTTACTTCATATTTTTACTTAGCAGCAGTTGCTTCTCGAGTAGAGTAGGGTCGCGAATCAAAATACGAGACCTGCGCAGTGCGAAGTAGTGGCGCTAATAAAAATATGAGACATGCGCAGTGCCCTGCACGTGTATTGTTGTTTCACGGTTGATTCACCCGAATAAAAACCGTTTGCACAGAAAAAAAACACAACATAGGTAGTGCTTGAAGACACTGAGATATAAGTGTTGAGTCACAAAGTGCAAGCGTAAGCGTGAAGATAACTAGATATTTTTTTCACAAAATCCACACGTGGCTATATTCAGGACGTGACTCGCGAGAAAGAACGTATTCACAACTTTGTGCAAGCCCATCTTGACACTCGAAATGTCGGAATTGACGATTTGGAAAGTGCAAGGGAATGGCTAAATTGCACCTCCGTTCAGTGATATATTATTCATAAAACACTGGAAAGTAACGACAAAAGTAATGTCGTTACTTCATCGTTACCTCAGACAAAAGTAATAGAACTACAGTTACAAGTTGCGTTTTTAAAAAGTAACTCGTTACAGTTTCAAGTTAGCAAAAAAGTAACGAAGTTACAGTAACGCGTTTCTAGTAACGCGTTAATACCCAAGACTGGCTAAAACAGGGCTCTCACCGGCGCACGGTACTACCTGCGCCACCTGTCGCACCGCTCCGCACACATGGCGCATTCTGAGGGCGATATGAATTCTCACTTGCGCTCGCTGCGTCACTCCACTCTTCCGGCCGTCTGCGACCGAGACGTCGGGTGCGACAGCGGGAGTGTGTGTGGGAGGTGGCGGGCGGCATCGATAATCCATATTGTAGAATCCCATATCGTACAATAGATTCCGCTAAAGGTATGAACACAAGTAATCTTATCTTTATACTACACATACTTAGAAACGTTATTAAATGAGCTGATACGCAGCGCATTCATTTAGTTACATATTCCATGATGATTCTATGACAGGTGTTTTTCAGCATATAAACCTAGATATTTTACCGATTTATCATAAGGCCAATGTTCGCAATGAAATTCATACACTGAGACAAATGAAGCAAAACAGTAGGTGGCAATGAAATTCGTTTGTGAGCATTTCGGAAGCAAATTTTCTGAAAATTTGAAAGAACTAATTGAAATAACATTTTAGATAAACCATCCCATTAATGTATTTGTAAGTTGTTTAAAGGCAGAAATTGCTTTGTCATGGTTATCATCAGGGAAAACTGACACTGCATCATCAGCCTACTGATATATCTTAAACTGCAACGGCAAAAGTCCAAAATAATTTACGTAAATATTAAATAACGTGGACTCCAAAGTGCTTCCTGTGGCACACCGCCGCATACCCCATTATATGTATTGCTTACATTGTCCATTATTTTAACTAATTGCATCATATCATTAATATAGTCATAGAAAAAATTACTAAGCGCGCCCCTGAAATCTAATCAGTCAAGGTTATCTGAAAATAAAGAATGGTCAATAGTATTGAAGGCCTTGAATAGAGCTATGAACAGTGCTGGCGAAGTTTTATTGTTGTCCACTGCTTCGTTAACGCGATTTCCAAAATCTTACAATACTGTAATAGTATTTTGTTTTCGGAATTTATATGGGATATTACTTAATAAAGAAAATATATCGAAGAGGCTAGTCATCGCAATTTGTTCTGTTTTCTAATATACGAGTTAAGACAGGTAAAATAGCGATTGTCCTGCAGCTTTCTAATTTGTTATGTTTTCCATTTTTATATATCGGACGTATAAATGAAACGTTTAGACCCTTGGGAATACCTCAGGTATAGGGGGTGTCATTATTAATTTTTGTAATATCTGCTTTTGTCGACAAAAATGTTACCTCATATCTTAGATCCCAATGTTGTGAAACACTGGAGGCTTAGTTATTGGCATGTAATCAATATTTCGCAAAACTTAATCTTTTGTTATGTAAGGCAAACACGCTGAAATAAAGTGCTTGACTTGATGAGGCATAGGAATGAGACTAACTGGTTGCACTTTCTTTGTTATCCCTCTTATGATGCGGGGCCGCCACCGAACGTAGGATGTGGTGACAGCCGTGCATCATACGTTGGAGAAACTAAACACTTCCTGGAATTCCTGCGCGAGTATTAACATGACGTCAAAATGAATGATGTACACAGTAACGTGCTGGCAGAATACGTTGCGAAAAGGGCATTCAACAGCAGCTTTTTTTTTTTTTGACAGGGAGAAACAATTGGCGAAGACGACTTTTGTTAGAGTCTTGGCACATACAAAATACAAAATAAAATTTTAAAATGTCAGCAGGGACATTTCTATGCGCCTACGTGAATGGATTATGCCGGGTCATGTGGGGTGCGTGGAGCAATACCACATCAGCAACAAACGCGAAGAAACAACGGCCCCTTTAAAAGCGGACAACACCGGGCACTATGAAATAAAACTGCAATGACGAAAAACTCACCATAAACTGGCCCAGCTGGCCTCGAATCGTCGGGATCTTTATTACATTACTACTCGTGGTTAAGGCCTTCTTTCGTTTTTATTATCAAGAGTTGGGTATGTTTCTATTTCTGGCTGTAGCTCTGTTTTGCGCTTATGACTCGTCTGAGCGCTTGAGGCACTTCCAAAGTTTAATATTTGGAAGTTTCAGAACTACGTACCCAGTTTCAGCTCACGTTAGCGCAAAATATAGCTTTAACGTTATCGATTGAACTTTAGAATAGCAATCCTCTTCAACCGGACAAAACCCAACAATCTCGCGCGTGTCACTTATAACGATATCAAGATGTAGTCGCAGCTCTTGTTTGACAGACGAAATACTGTACCATGAAAAATGTGTTTGGTCTTGAATAAGAATTTATATTTGTTTTAATATCAAACTGCGACACCAGGGTTTACCAGTTGTGTCATATTTGAGTGAACGTTTAGCGACGTTCACCGAGAGGTGCTTTCCCGTCGTAAGCCGCAAGCTGCCTGAGATCGCTGCTCTTATTGGTGGTATTTTTTAAACAGTTTGCGGAAAGTCCATTGCTACGTCCATTGCTCTCCCGAAGGAGAGAAATGTGGTTCTGTATCGAAACTCGCAGCGTCAAGGACGCGTCAAACCTCGCTAGCAATTCGGCCGCGGTTCTGAGAGCGACAAATGTTTGAAGGCTAGCCTTCGTTTTAGCCGACTGCCATCTCGCGTGACTCGAGACAACGACGCAAAGGTTTTGAGGCAAGTTTCAGTAAACACCTTGGTTTCGCAACATAGCGTGCGCAGAAAAAAAAAGGTTATGGCGCGTTTACGGTACAGTGCACCCCCCCCCCCCCCCCCCCCCAACAACGATATTTTCTTCTGTACACAAATGTTATGGGTGCGCTAAATAAACACCCCCTACTATTTTAGTGCAAACCTTATGACCGTCGTTCTTATACGCTTCTTTTCTCTTTTACTCCTTTTACTCAAGCTTGCTTTAACCGTTTATAAGTATTGACTTTTAATAATAGCAGTAAAAATAATGTAATGTTTCATATGTAGATCTTTTTAGCTTTATATGAGTATCTCTAGCAACATTCAGTAAACATAGTTACTCAATCTATTAGAAGGTCGCATACTTTCGGAGCTTGTGCTATCTTATCGCTTGTTTTGTTCAATTTTCATTACTTTTCATCGTTACCCTGTCACAGCAACCGTAATATCTGCGGGACTCCTTCCGTAGTTTTCAAGAAGGTGCTTATAGGTTTTGTTTGCTTCCGCATAGATTCTCTTGGCAACTGGCCAGCCGATATCTTCATATATAAAGGTTTGGGCAAATTTCTAGAATGAGAAGCACAAAATAAAGTGTGTAGTGAATGTGTGCAGAGGAATGTTTCCCAATATATTCTATTACTTTTAACGCTTTCGGCCGGGGCAAGAAGTCAGTGAAACTAATAATGTAAAACCAGCACCTACCTCTTCCTTTTGAATAGAGGTGAGGAGGAACTGAATGTTTGGACCTGACGTGTCTTCATAGCGCATATTGACCTAATTAATAAGAAACGTTGAAAGTTACAACAAACCAGCATATAGTAAGCCCCAAACCCATTTGGGTCCTGCAACATTAAGGTAGTGTAATAGCCCATTGCAAGGGTTCTGGAGTGGTCGAATTTGAATTACGATTCGCCTTGAGCCAGACTAAAAATCATGCTCCACAAATTGCTTCCGGATTGTACATTTGTCAAGTATAATAGTATTTTATTACCTACCAGTGTAAATTTAGCGCATGATTTGGTTTAAAATTAATGTTTGTATTCATTCTAATTGATGCGGATCGCTGGGGCGACCATTAAAGAGGAGTGGTATGCCAAGTACAGTCATGTCTCGTTAATATGGACCCCAGTAATGTGTATACCCCTCTATTTGGAGTCAATTTTCTGGAATACACTTCTAAGTACATGCATTTTCGTCTAGTTATTATGGACACTCATATTATGGACGATTTTCGGGGCAGAACGGACATGCTCATATTAAAGCGACATCACTGTAATCGCTAATATCAACCTTAATATCGCGCGAAGGCAAAATTCCAAAGGCTTGGTAACTACGAAAAATCCAAACATATCGGTTTATGGGAAAAGCGTATATAGAATTCGCGGGATATTTACGCAAAGGCAACACAAAATCACAACGTAGGTCATTTGAAAATATATTCATAGAGGCAGTCTGGGTACAAAACTACCTGCTGGTAGGAGATAATAGCTACAGATTCCTGGCTCTGTTAGATGCTTCAGTTAGTGACTACCTGTAAAACTATGTCGAAGGAGTCGCTATACAACGTACACATCCTGAAAGTTTTGTTAATATGTGAATATGGGAAGGGTAGAACTGGTGCTGAAAATTGTGATGTAATCATCAGTTCTACATTTTTTTCTGGTAGATCTGAAACTTCGGAACTAGCGAATAGATGGCGTCTTCTATGCCGGGCATGTCACAAGAGTTCCATTCCTTGGACACGCAACTGAGTAGTAGGCAAGTGACGTGTGGAAGCCCATTATACCGATCTCACCATCCAATTTCGTTACGCCACAACTGCCGCAATGCATTGAGGGAACTTCAGTCTTGTGCACGGCCAGAATCCTCGCTGGAGCTCTGCACGTGCGGAGCACGAGACGGCCCGACCGTCTCATGTACTCCGGCCAGCCTCCTCTGATTTAAAGATATGGCGGCGTAACGTATGCGTGGAACGGTTTGTGAGTATATTCTATTCTGATCATGGCTCTAATCTTTCGTAAGAGCTCATCTACCGAAAGGGCGGAAACAAACTTGAACGTTCGAAAGCCTATACAACGATAGGTCAGTGTTCCTCTGAAATATTAAAGTACTGAATTTACGCTGATGATATGAACAGTATATGACTTCTGCTTGTAATGCGATCTTAACGTTCGTTATAAATTTTAGTTTCCTACCGCCAACCGCTACATTTCGAGTTTTTTTAAGATAGGCTGCCATTGTTCCTTATATGTTTTAAACAGGGGTTTATGTCCAACTTTTATTTGAAATAATAAATCTCGCCCTCCCCAGGGGTCAGGATGCTCGGGATTTCTAAGAGCCTTCTGCTGATCTTTCTATAATGGCCTTCATTACTTTTTATTGTGTTGTGCTGATGAACATCTAGCCGCACCTGCATGAGTTTGCTGGTCGTACGCACATTCAATGTAAAGTGAGAGAATGTCGTGTTTGTTACAAGCAGTTGGACATTCCGTCTCACCCAAGTACCTCCAAGGATTGCTCTCGCCGCGAGCTCTCCTTTTGAATGCTCGTGACGCGTCGCCATCTTGTAGCCTTATGACCCCATTCCACATTCAAGTGCGCATGTTTTTATAAACCAAATCATGTTTAGAAACAAACCGGAGCGCCCTTAGCGGACGCTACCAACACCGCGCATGCGCGATGGGGGTGTGGGCAAGAAGCTTGCCGTCGCCCGTAAACAAACCATTGGAATGGGGCGTTGTCACCGTCGGTGGGAGTCCCTGTGCTCTTTTTTTGCGTTGGAATTGTTGATTTTACGTTTTCCTGGCGATGTCGGACTACTTGAACGGCCTCAACGGAATCAACGAGGCTTGTTACTCCGGAAAACATGGCCTAAATGATGTAACATGCGGCGGTTCACTCCGCGTGGACTCCGCAGAATGGACGCTAAAGCCTGATTCACATGGTGAGGTTCTGCTCGCTATTTTCAGCTTGACGTCACTCGTGCTGCAAAAGCCTGAAACATAGCTTAGATGGCAACGTCGATGCTGAAAATCGCAAGCAGAATCGGACAGAGTGAATTAGGCATAACAAGTCGGTGATGGTCACTGGTAACAACTATCAATATCTCCTTATATCTACTGTTTAAACCGAGCCTACTTAGCCGAAGCAACCGTCAAACTTAAACGTGTTTTGAGGTCTGCCCTTCTTATCGCAATTACCGGGTCAACGTTTGGTCCACGGGCCGCTGTCGTTTGAAAGAGCAGACGACATGCAGAAACGTTTGAGAGAGCAGACGACAGCACGAACGATAAGGCGGCCGCTTGAACTTGATGACACATTGAACGTAATCCGCAGGTGACTCGTGCAACTTGACGATTTTTCCGCGTTCATGTTGGAACAAAACAAAAAAAAAAAAAATCTCACGACCACAAGTATCTGTGAATTAAATCTGAAGTGCCTCCCGCCCAAGCAATCGTGGTCAGACGGTGTCTGTTTTTCCACTTCACGGCCCCTATTCATGTTCTTGAACGAACCGAGCAGGCAGAAAACGCACGAAAACTGACCTTCAAACCTTTACCGCCTCTTTTGACGAAAAGGCAGGTTTTTGTCCGGTTTCTTTCAAAGTAACACAGGAATGCACGTCCATCATGGTGACTTCCACCCACAGACCCAGGCCGGAAGTGTGTCCGACGCGCCCCCACTGCGGCGTGACGTAACAGAGATGAGCTCGTGTATAGGTACGTTGTGCTTTAGGCGACACGGCACTGTGCCCCGCGCGCTCGTAGGGCCCTGTTGCGGCAGCTGGTGTCCCGCCGCCGACAACAAGCTGTATTTGAGGGGACGTTCTTCCGTTTGTGGCTCCAGTGCGTCCCATCCCACACCACTTTCGCGTTATTTATATATTCAATAGGATTCGTTCCAGCGCTTTAGATGGCTGTTTTCTAAGTTGGTTTGTATGATATTCGTCCTAAGACCCACAGCTGTTGGTTAGTTTCCCTCAGAAATGTGTCGACTGAATAGTACTTTGTGTCTCTGCATAAATTTGGAGGCAATGTATTTGCGCAGTCTATGGCCTACTTTTCATGCCCATAAAATTCAGGGAGATAGCCTGTACCAGCTTCAGTGTTGTACACGTTCCCCAAAAGAAGGAAAGAAATCTCGTTCCTTGATCCCTCAGATTTTTGAAACGCGTTCCCGTTACAAGGTTCATATGTGAAAAACGATCTCGTTCTCGTTACAGTTTAAAAAATGGAACGTATCGTTATATATACCTTACATATGTATTTTGATGGTTAGCATATTCAATTAGATCAAACAAAGAATTTTGTTATCTATCTCGTCAAATGGCAACATACGAATTGGAATGTCGTGATGGAAGGACACCAGGAGAAGAAAACAAATGGAAGCAAGGTTTCATTGGTCGTTATATTCACCTTTAAAGACCTCAGCTTTTAACCATATTGATGTTTGTGGTGAAGAATTCAGACGAGCCAAATTAACTTAACATTGCACGAAAGATTTACAACAACCTCAGTAAAACATATAAAATAGCGCAACAGAAACAAGGACAAGAAGTAAACAGGACAGGCGCTTGTTTCTGTTGCGCTGTTTTATATGTTTTACTAAGATGAACCAACTAGCCCAACAACGTGCCTTACTAAACTACAACAACCTCACACGTTTTGATCTAACGAAGTCCCTTGTTCGAACTTTACAACAGTTGCTTCTCGATGTTTCTGTCCGTAAAACGAGCAAGTGAAGAAGGGGGTAGGGCTTTTGGAAGGTCAGTCTTGAAAACTACAAGGCCGTCTTCGTGAAGGTTGGATTCGTTGTTCAGTTTGAAGGTGGGGGACCAGGAGAAAAGAGATAAAGGTTAATTTTATTGTTTCTTTTAAGTGACCAATGTTTGAAATACAAGGGTGCGTTCGATGTCTAATAACCTGTTCTTTTGTCGTAACTCTAGTTCTCTTTGTGAAAGTTCTGTGATGGCTGCAGTCGGCCTCTCATTTTCGGGTGTATGAGGGTTCGTAGAAGCAAAGAAAGTAGCTAAGTTTGAAACGTCGCTATTTTTCTGTCTTTTCTTCTGACTAAACGTTTTGCTTTCTGTATTGCAGTCTCGGGCACTAAAAAAGGAAAATCATTCTCCAGTAATTTTCCTGCACCCGACTGTTACTAAACGAGGACCGCACAAAATAAACTTAACGAGAGTCTGCTTTCCGTAAAGGTTTTGTTTTTAAAGTTCTAGAATTTCCCAGTTAGAAATTTAAAAAAAAAGAAGAAAATACCCCACTGGACGAAAAAAAGGGAACGCCATTCCTTTTTCGTTCTAGTAAAAATGTAACGCCTTCCCGCTCGAGTTCCACCGATGCAAAATAGAACGGCGGCACTCCTCGTTTCTCCTACAAAGAACGCGTTCTAGGAACGCCAATCCTTTGAACGCTGTTCCGTACAACGCTGATGAGGTTGTATCGGTTGAGCCACCTTTATCTAGAAGGAAAGCTCTCAAAGACCTGTGGTAAGGCTCTCGTGCTGTGGCCTGCTTAGTGGGCACATACAATCTATACGATGGGGATAAAATAAAGAAAACAGGCTTTCTGCTGAAGTGTGAGTTGCCACTGGCGTATTTATTGTAAACTGTGCTCTTTCTTTTAATGTACCTTTGTTTGAATCAGCAATACCACTCCTTGTGCCTTATAATCTGGCTAAAATGAACGTTTTTCCATGACTTGATTCTCAATATTACAGAAGTATCATTATACGCTAAGCAAATGACGGTACAATCAGTAATGACT